GGTTGATATTTGCAAGGCGCTCGCTTCCAACCGCCGCCAATGGGCCGCTGTTATCCGTGACATCCATGAAGCTGATTCATCCAAAAACACGAGCTAATCGGATAAATTACAGGTACCATTGAAAAACAGAGTAGACAGACGTTCGTTGATGAACGTTCACCGATCGCCAACAGAACTCACTCGTCCCGTACTGCCTTGAGGCTCACTTTCGAGCCCTGCCGGCAGCCACACAGCGACTAGTAGTATACGCAGAGCAAATCGAATTTACCAGGTCGGTCTTCGTAAATCAATAAAAGTATACAAGAGTTAAAGACGACATGCTTGAGGCCGGTTATAGTGGCTATTGTCTCAGTCACAGTCAGTGTATGGACAGGAGTCGAGGGTTGCCACTAATGTAGGCTACCTATTTGTACGCAACCAATTATGGAGGTCCTGGACTGGGGCACCAACAGACGGAACTGTTCGTATTCCGCGCCGCGCTCGGGCCACACGAGTGAGTATTACAGCCCATGTAACAGGTGCAAAAGGCCAAGACCGGTCGAAAACACCAAGCACACGGAGACTATCTTCTGTGTTGTAGTTAAGTGGTCCCCTTTAGGTCTAGACGACAGCTGGGCCCAGCCTTGTGAAGTAAACCTCGATCAGAAGAACTGAACAGTTAAGAAGTGAACATCCGTAGCTAACAGAAATCTACCTCTCCAGGCGTGACAATTAGCGGCAGCAGATCTGGAGAGCTCCACCCCCCTCTCCCTCTTCTCCAGTGACGTAGATAGAAAATCGAAGGACCAAGAACCGCTTCCATATGGTACTATTGGCATGCATCTGGAATCGCTACATAGTAGGAATACACTGCAACCTACCAATTCCAAGTTTACCAACCCTGTCCAGCAGGACACACGTATATAACAGTAATCTCGTGTACTGTTTTGGTGGAAAATTACTTGGCCCTCAAATTGTATACTTAAAAAAAATAAGCATCCTTTGACTTAAAAAAAGGTTTCTACATTGCCGAATACTTGTAAATCCTACAAGCCCCTACACTTGAATTAAGGATTTAGAAACCGCAGACTGCATATTTCCCATAAAAGGAAAATCACGCATTTCCATACGCTAAGTTCTCATAAAATTGCGCAATTTATGTGGAAAATGTTGTTTTCTTTATAGGTAGCAGTTACAAATATGCGGATACGATGTAGCATGAATGAAAATTTCACGATTTCATAAAAATCTCATAATTAGAAACTTTTTTTAAACCGAAAGACACTCTTTCTTTAAGCATAAAAATGGAAGAAACCATATTTTGCTACCAATCCAATACACAAAGGGATAGTTTTGTAAATGCTTTCTACAAATTATAGTTGAATTTATAAGGACAGAGAAAACCAAGGAGAAAAATGCATACTACTCAAACAGCCATTTGTTTATGCCAGCAGAAAGAAGCTCGTTTTAAAAGCCGGGTAACAGTAAAGTTGGTCTACCACCCTAGATACCCAAGTCCCCAGTCCTGCGGTTACTTCTAGTTTTATTGGTTTAACTTTGTTTTATTTCAGTTCAGTTTTGAGTTTATTGGCTTAGTTGCAGTCTTAAGTTTAATTAGATAACGTCAAAGTTATATAAACATGCTTAGATAACTATATTATACTAAACTAAGTAAACTAAGCTGAACTTAACAAAACTAACTGAAAATTAAACAATATAAAAATTAAACTAATGAACAAAATAACAAACAAACAACTAAACTAAACTAATACCACAGGCAAAACTGTC